TTCAGACGGAATAAACTACCTGAAAATGATTATTGTAATAATAGTACAATGTTATACATATTGTCTGTATAAAAAACAGGAGTACAAAGGACGCTCGAATCCTATCACCTCCAGGTGGACTATTCACCATCCTTCGGCGTTTCTCTTTCTTTATTCTGCCGCTCTTTCTGCAACGTTCTGAACTCTTCCTCGAGTCTTTTCAAATCCTCTTGTCTCGCCGGATCTCCCGTTTCCTCCAGCCTCCATGTCCAATCATCCTTCAGCTTCATCCCTGCCTCACTCTTAATCCTTCCCGTATACCCACCCTCGCTCGGCAACCTCTTAATCCTGTCAATCTCCCGCTGCCTGGGTGTCATCTTCTCCATTAAATATGCTGGCGGCTGTCCTCGCATTCGCTCGAGAGTGATAGGAAGAACCTCGCCTCTACGCTCGCGTGCTCTCTCGCGCGTTTTATTCTCAATCCTCATCCGACGAGCATCTTTGACAGTTTCCAGGAGTTCCAAGGTATAAGGAAGCTTTGAGCGGGCGGATTCCCGTTCGTATGAGGCGTGAATGTCTCTCAGACGTTCCTGCAGAGGTTCCTCTACAAGACAGGGAAAGCATTTAAAAAAACGTAAGAATAGATGTCACTAGATAAACATACCCCAAGCTTTAACATCATCATAAACTCTCTCGAAAGTCAACCCTTTCCTTCGTACCTCGTTATATAAATTAGCCTCAAATTTATGTTCGGCGTGTAGCTGTTTCACGTTCCACGATAGCTCATCTTGGAGTGCCATGCGTCTTTCCCGGGCCTTTCGCCTGGAGTATATCATAGCAGATATGTGTATAGGTTGGGGCTTCATGCGTGGTAAGGGAGGGTTATAAAGTGTGGGCCTCAGAATAGATCCCGTAAGGATAGGTCGATTCTTCAATCTTTCCAACCATTCCTAAGGAATCATTGTCAATAATTGGACACATACGTTGAGAATAACATAGCTACCTTCTCTTTAAGCATAGTTTGTTCCATCTGAATTCTTTCGCATCTTGCGTTTATCAAGCTATCATATCTGCGCAACACGGCTTGACTATATTCATCACCATCAGCAGCAGCTTGGAAAACGCGAAGCCACTTCGACTAGTCAGCCAAGCAAATTAGAATGCTGCTTAAACACGTACCTCGTATGCTTTATCAAGCCTTTCCGTGGTCTTTTGAGGACTAGTTAAATGTTGATTTTTCCGGAACAGGATTCCCACGCGCCATTGGACCTGGCCAAGGTTATTCAAACTCAAATGATGCCCTCTTATCGACATACATTTTCATACTCCTTTGCCCCCCTGAGCAAACCACGATACAAAGTCCATATCGTCGGTATTCTATGCGCTGCAAGCTCCCAAAAAGGAACCGTGGGCCGCACTCGCTTTAGAGAAGAGAACGCCCCTGCGAGTTTGCTTCTTCGTGATGACTGGAGGACATTCTGGGCCATGAGAGCATGGTTAGATGGACGGAGTAATTATAAGAAGACGATATCTCCAGGTACAGAATCAGAATGTGATCTGACGCTTTCAATCAAAAGATTGAAACAATTTGTTGACAGCTCTATTCGCGGGTCTGGCCAGAAAGAGTGACACTGGGCCTGGCACCACTGGTAGAATACTTTGGATGGTTCGAGTAAGTAGTAAATCACAAGAAGGAATGATATATAACCAAGCTTACAAGAATTTCAATTAGAGAAAGCGGGATATGGGTTACCGATTATATTGACAAGAACGCGTGACCGTGACTGTCCTCGTGCGAATGATCACCGACCTAATCATCACAGATATGGCTAAGCTATGGCTAACCGTGAGCAAGATGCTCAAAGAATATACTTCTCAGACTATATAAACCCGCCTTAACTCACTGTAGGTTCTCCCGGTTTCACGACTTCTTGCTCCACTCCCTTACGTTCGCCTCACCTCAACTACAGCCATGTTCTCAAAAGTCCTCGTTGCCGCTGCTCTCGTTGCCTCCTTCGTTGGTGTCAATGCACAGAGCTCTGCTAGCCCAGCTCTTCCTAGCGGGCTCCCTAATCTTCCCCCTTGCGTGCTCAACTGCGTGACCACTGCCGCTACTTCATCTGGTTGCTCCCTTACCTCTTCGTATGTCTCTCTACATTCCCTTATGCATTTACTAGTATGCAAACTAACTGCCGAATACTTAGTACCGCTCTTCAATGTTTCTGCTCGTCCTCTAAATTCCAGAATGACGCCAGGACATGCTTGGCCAGCTGCGATTCTAGCGACCAAGCCGCTGCTAACCAACTCCAATCTTCCCTTTGCGCCTCTGGTGCGTTCTCCACCATATACATCTTCGACACGCACTGATTCTTCCCTCCCTCCTAGTGACCGAAACAGGATCCTCTGGCACCGGCACTGCGGGTTCAACTGGCTCGGCAGCCACATCTGGGTCAGTGACTTCATCAAGTACCAGTGTTGTCAGTAGTTCTAACACTGGTGCTTCTTCTGTCCCCAATAGTACTGGCTCTGCTGCCTCCAAGAGCTCTACTCCCGCTAGTAGCAGTACTGCTCCTGCTCCTACCACTACTAAGAGCGCTGCTACTGCCCTTTCTGTCAACGCCGGTCACCTCGCTGGATTCGTTAGTATTATGGGTGGTATTATTGCTGGCGCCATCATGTTGTAAGGCGTATCATTCAAACAACAAAATGTCAGTTGGGGTGATTTCTGGATGTATGGACTGATTGGGCAACATATTATTGTATGACGATGTACAAGAAAAGCCTATATTGAATGGTATCACCTGTTTGTAGTGTTTTTTCTTTTTTTAATGTATGTAGAACTTTATTAAGCTACTTCTTCCGAAAAGACATTTTATAATGCGTAATCGCCTCACCGAATGTCAGTTCACGACGTGAGAACGCTTGAGAACGGCAACAAGTTCGGACCTTTAGAACTTCTTATTTGATCTTGATCTTGATCTTGATCGCCGTCTCCATCTCCATCACTCACCCATCAATTGCCAAGGATGTTACTATAAAAAGGACATGAACGTTCCTCTCACAATGCTTGCGCTTGAACTGAGGTCGAAGGGAATGTAGGGATATGTTTCCTCACCATCTGATTATAACATAAACATTGCACAACATTGTCTCTGGAGCTCGTTAGTATCAATTAAGTCGTAATAAATACATTTAAGCGATTCCCTGTGCATATATGCATCCAAACCCGAACTCGCAAGGTACCCATCACCGGGCCGCACAGGCTCGAATATACCCACAAAGCCCATAATTAGACGTTTGGGGTTCTAACCAACTCTCTTAACACTTCTATAAATGTGATACAAAATACGTATGGCTCCATAAAACGTGATGTGAGCGCTGTTCTGCCTACGATACCGTTGCCATACGATAACGGGAAGTGAAATGCTAAGTTACTTATGTCAACTTGACAGAAGACCGTCGTCGGAATTTTTCTTGAACAGACAGCCAATAGCCAATTTATTCGAAGGGAACAATGAATTTCCTTGTAAGTGGGGCAAGGACCTTACTTCGAAGTGGGATCTTCTCTTCTCCACCACCTGCCAGTGAATTACACTCGGCGGGCCGTATGTTTACTATTAAAATCTTACGTCGCTGTTATAATAGCAATATTCGCGTTGTTAACTATTTAACATGTAGGTAGTGCTGTCATGTCTAATAACTGCGCTGCCATACTTTCATTTATGTACTCAACTTACTGGGCATGTGTCAGGACTACTTGAAACGAATTCTCCTATCCCCATCACTGACATCGACAGTCCATGCTTATTTGCGGACAACAACCTCCTCATGGCTAGATTTCCTATGCTCCACTCATTTATCCCAAATTTAATGATCTATCTATGCACTTACAATAACAAGAACAAGACAACAGGAGTTTTTGTTTAATCGGCCATGGTCACGGCTACGGCGGCCCGGTGAATTCTTGAATTCGTCTTGATTCTTCATGGATCTTGTTGGTTGTCAGTTTTGCTATGGATATCTTGATCTGAGAGAGCTCGCTGTAATTGTTTTCCACAGATATCCACGTTGACAGAATTACGAGTTCTTCCTCACGTAGTAAATTTGGTGTTAAGAACCCGATGTGAATTCTCCAGACTCCTGTCTCCATCAGTATTACTGGCATGGATCAGCGCATTAGCTTCATGATTAGATTTTCCTGTGCTCGCTTATTTGTCTTAAGTAGCTTAACCTTACTGTAGATATGTCTTAATAAGTACTTTCACATTAGCTCGAGGAATTATCATTTAGCCGGCCACTGTCGGCCACAGCCGCCCTGTGCTAGCAGTGAATTCTTGAAAATTTCCTCGCTTCTTCATGGGTCCAAACAGCAAATTTTATGCGAGATATCCACATGGAAGAGCGGAGGCAGCCCGCACTTTCGATTTTTTGGCTGATATATTAGACATGTTAATGGTTTAACATGCTCCGCTTTTCTATGTGGATATCTCGCATAAAATTTGCTGTTTGGACCCATGAAGAAGCGAGGAAATTTTCAAGAATTCACTGCTAGCACAAGGCGGCTGTGGCCGACAGTGGCCGGCTAAATGATAATTCCTCGAGCTAATGTGAAAGTACTTAAGACATATCTACAGTAAGGTTAAGCTACTTAGGACAAATAAGCGAGCACAGGAAAATCTAATCAAAGAAGCTAAAGCGCTGATCCATGCCAGTGATACTGATGGAGACGGGAGTCTGGAGAACTCACTTCGGGTTCTTGACTAAGTTTACTATTTTGGGAAAGAATTCTGCTACAATGTCACAGTGGACCTCTATGAATTCAGGCGATCCCTCAGAACAAGATATCCGTAGCAAAAGTAAAACTCGACCGATATACCAAAACCAATAAAATCAGTACACCTGAGGAGACTTGAAACCCACAAACTAACCTTGAGCAGGAGTTCTGGTGCCGAACTGGACAGATGTGTAGACCCCAGATGCTCCCTTAAATTACCCCACTGATGAACAACATCAAAAACAAATGCACCTGGTGGGACTCGAACCCACAGCCTTCAGATTGAATTATGTTCAGCTTCCAACTTAGAAAGTAGAAGTCTGACGCGCTACCATTGCGCCACAGGAGCACCTACTAGCCGGAATGGGATGTATCTATTCGAGAAGTAACGCTAAATTAACGCAGCTTGAAGAGTTGAAACTACTTAAATTTATGGCTTCAAATTGAATGGAAAATCCTATTGGTCTAGTAATTATGAGAAGAGTTTAGTCTCAGTCATTCATCTTAACCGTATACATACATCATACCTTTTATACCATTGAACCAACCAACGGAAAGGGGTCTTTGGCCCTACTGAGTACCGAGGATACACCTGATCTAAACAAAATTATCCCTTCGTAGCACATGATTCGCGGAACTTGCGTGAAGTGAAATAAAATCAGCATTGATCAGCATCGATCAAATGAATGCCTGTATGAAATGTGGCGACAACGTGGTCCTAGGAGTAAGTAGGTAATTATGAACTTCTGCCAGCACGCGTGCATTTTACTTACGCCTAACCAAGTACTCACATGGACACTGACAGTGCTGCGGCTGGCTAGCAATTGCACAAGAGAATATCCTGCTGCGGATTTTTGATTTAGCTTGTTGACACTATTACATACTTATTTCTGCAAAGGCCAAACCAGCTAAGTTGAGACTGGAGTGGCTTTCTCCGTTTGATGTCACATTGACTAGATACCTTCTAGCTGTAGAAACTTCTCGTACGTCGCGGAGTATACGGCGACATCAGTCGTAGAAGACACTGGATCCGAGTCTGGGTCAAGCTTGACCAGGTCGGGCGAGGTCGCGTAGTAACATGTCAGAATTCTGAGAGGTCATATAGAGTCAGCTGACCCGTTCATATACTTATCGCTACCCCCTATACAGTGAGCACTGTATGGTGGGCGAAGAAAAAGTAGCTTAGGGCATTCGAAACCGAGACAGAAGAATAGGAGACACAACCTCATCGGTACAGAATGCTACCATCTCTGACCATCAAAGCTGATGAAGACAGGGAACCAGTAACATGTGGCTGTTGGTCCTCATTTGGAAAACACCAATGGGCTATTCTTAGACGCATATAAAGCTACACATGCATATATCCAAAACTTCTTCCCTGGCTCATTTTAACCTTGCCTTGCGTCCTTCCTTCCTTTGTCGTTCATAGTCCCTCGTGACCTATACCCATATATACCCTACCTAAAAGTATCTTGTCCTTCTTTTGCTGGTACGTCCTACCCCATGCAGATGCTCGTGGTTTCCGTGTTCTTGGCTGCAATACTCGGGATCGGAAGCGTGAATGGACAGTCGAATTCGAACTTGCCTTCGTGTGTAGCGACATGCTTGACCCAACGTTTCCAGGCTGCAGGATGCGCGTCGTGAGTGGATTTATTACGCGGCGAAATTTACTCGGTGACCCATCGATTGAATGTAGACAAGACTTTAATTGCGCGTGTCAAGAGTCTGGATTCCAGACGGCAGCGAATAACTGTTTTCGGACCAATTGCCAGCCTGATGATGCGCAGATTGGCCTCAGTACAGTGGACACTGGATGCAGCAATGGTGAGTCGACGCGTTCATATTGATACTCTTCTAACGTACAGTTTAGAAGCGTCTACTTCGATCGCCCCTCCGTTCTCCTCTGGAACCAGTACTGTCACGTCGCTTTCGGTAACAAACACGGAGACGTCCCCTCCAGAATCAGGTTCCTCCAGTTCGACCTCTTCTCCTACCTCTATCTCAGGTCCTCATACTCCTACTCTTATTCCTCCTAAACCGCCGCTTACTACTAGCAATGCAGCCTCCACCACGGTGACTGCGACGTCTGTTTCCACTGCTACTTCCTTCTCTACTTCTACTTCCACTCCCACTTCCATCTCAACCAGTACGACGCCCACCACGATTTCAGTTCCGCCCACTAGCAGCAGCACCACCACGTCAAGCACCACTGAAACTTCGTCTGTCGTTTCATCCTTAACTGGACTGCCTAGTAGCACCTCAAGGGCCGTCGCGTCGCCGATCACGACCTCTGACACGGGAGTCACGCCCAGTGGGATCCCAAGCGGCACGATCCAGTCGATTCCAACTGGGAGCTCGGGCGTGGTACGGGAATTGGTTGTGGACAAACTCTTCTGGGCTGTGGCCCTGAGCGTGATATTGTTTATTGTATGATGTAACAGCGCAAGGACTTTTCTCTCGATGACGTCAGGACATGGACTTGTAGTATTCTGCCTGCGCTGTATACGCTGCTTATTTGTAATTATTTGCCCGTGTTCTCATCTTGCGTTCTGAATCTATGCAATGACACGTACATACCCTTCACTTTCACTTTAACTCTATAGGATTCTGTCATTGTGTGCGCTTATGGACGCGGCGGGTTCTGGGTTCCGCGGGAAGAACGTTGCACTCCATTACTGCGTCAGTGACGTCACGTCGGTGGTGCGGCAGCACACCTCCAAACGGCTCCTATAAGTTGCCAAATCTCGAATTTCGTTCTCTATTACACACTTCCTGCATGGCTACCCTCAAGAAATTCATCAATAAGGTCTCCCATCGCCGAGGGCCTTCCAAGGGCGTTGCACAGGGCCAGCTCAAAGCCCGCGACCACGCCAAAGAGAAGACGAACGGCCATATCGTATCCGACGTGAAGGAGGAGCAACAGATCAACGGCAATGCGAAGGACGACGGGGGTGAAACACCACTTGACACGCCTGGGGTAAACTCCGAGTTGGGCGAAACGACCGATTATATGACCCAGGAGGAAGCGGAGGATGAGAACAGATTGGAGATGGAAATTGCCGCGCAAAAGAGGCGCGAGGAGCGCGAACAGGTGAGGGATTTAGGGTGAGACAGTTTGAGTGGTGCTCATGTTTTTTATAGGACCCGTTGAAAGAGAATTATGGAGATATCCCCGAGCATGCTGGTGTGTGATTTAGCATTTATATGGTCGACCACTTTCGGACTCACTGTGTTATTAGGCGAGAATGTCGTCACAGTCAAATCCCTAGCTGGCAAGAGTGAAGGCGATCGCGTTCAGTTCCGCGGAAGAATACACCACTCAAGACCACTTGGTATGTCGTCTAAATTCCGTAGCATAATAGCCTCATCTCACCGCTCTTCAGGTCCTAAGATCATTTTCTTGATTTTCCGTCAGCAAACAGCCACGATTCAAGGTATCCTCACTGTAGAGGAAGGCCGCGTCTCAGAATCGATGGTTCGATGGGCCGAGCATCTGCGTCGCGAGTCGATCGTCCTCGTCGAAGGTATCATTCAGAGGCCTAAGGATGGCCAGGACGAAGTCAAGACCGCCTCGATACACGACCTTGAGGTTAAGATTGACAAGGTGAGCAGCTAAGATCCTATTGCTTCGTGAACGGCTGCTTAGTTTGCACGCATAGATGTACGTCGTTGCCGAGCCAACAGTAAATCTTCCCTTCCAAGTTGTCGATGTAAGCAAGCCAACGGAATTCTTCGAGAACGTAAGTATCTTGTTTTGAATTGGTATCTGCCATGAATCCAAACGCGGATTAGCAGAACGAGGGCGACGCCGTCCCCCGCGTCGGTGACCGAACCCGTCTAGATAACCGTGTCCTAGACCTTCGTGTAAGTTGAATCTCTTTTACATATCCTAATCATCTCTAACGTACCTATATGCAGGCACCCGCCTCGCAAGCCATCTTCCGCATCCACTCCGCCATCACGAAGCTCTTCCGCTCCTACCTCGACGAGCAAGGTTTCATCGAGATCAACTCCTCAAAGCTGCAAGGAACCGCCACCGAATCTGGAGCCTCCGTATTCAAAGTCGACTACTTCAGACGACCGGCGTACCTCGCACAAAGCCCGCAGTTAGCGAAGCAGATGTGCATTGCAGCGGATATGGAGAGGGTTTACGAGATTGGACCTGGTGCGTAGCTTTCTTGGTATTTCTGTTATCATTATGTCGTATTGAGCTATTTTGGTTTTAGTGTTCCGCGCTGAGAACTCGAATACCCATCGTCATTTGACGGAATTCACGGGGTTGGATCTGGAGATGGCCATCACGTATAACTACGGCGAAGTCCTCGATATGATCGACGGCTTACTTCTCCATATCTTCCGTAATATTCAGAAGGATTATGCTGAGGAGGTATGTCTGCTCGTCCTCCCATATATCTTGCTCGACTGACCGCCCCATTCCTGTACAGATCGAAATCATCAAGCAACAGTTCCCGCATGACGACCTCGTCTTCCCAGAGAAGACTCTCCGCCTCAAGTTTAGCGACGGCATCAAGCTGCTTATAGAGAGCGGATGGAAAGAGGAAAACGGCTCGGAGCCCACAGAGTTTGAGGACCTGAGCACGAAGGCGGAGCAGAGGCTTGGGCAGTTGGTCAAGGAGAAATATAATACCGATTATTATATCCTTGGTATGTCATTCCCTTCCTTTTGGACGTTTAGCGACTGGTTGACCTGTAATTTGTCTTCAGATAAATTCCCTCTTGCCGCCCGACCATTCTACACGATGCCCGATGCGGAAGACGAACGGTTCTCGAACTCGTTTGATATCTTCGTGAGGGGTGAGGAGATCTTATCCGGTGGACAGAGGATCCACAAAGCACCCGATTTGGAGGAAAAGTACGTAGTTTGAATTGATTATATGCATGAGTTGCAGGTGCTGACATGGGTGACATTAGGATGAGAGCCGCAGGTATCGTCCCAGATATGATGAAAGAGTACGTCGATGGATTCAGATGGGGATGCCCACCTGTAAGTATTACTATCTTCTTCTCTCAGTAAAAATGATATATTGATAACGTTCAGCACGGTGGAGGAGGTCTCGGTCTCGAGCGTCTCCTTATGCTGTTCCTCAGCCTGCACAACGTTCGTTGGGCCAGTTTGTTCGCTCGCGACCCCAAGAGCTTCGCCAATGCCAATTCCGACCCTGTTGCAGCCTCTGAGGCTGCCCAGGTTAGGATCATTAACGGTCCCAAGGCGAGGACTATCAAGAAGCGTGGTGAAGAGCATGAGATGCCGGCGCTTGAAGACGTACGTTGTCTTTTATTCACTTGATGCTTAATTTTCATATTGATGGTTCTCTTTGAAGATCATCG